TCAAGTTATCTATATACAATTCAGTAGAAGCAAAAAATAATTACAAAGAATGGGAACGTAGCTTAGAAGAGAGGGACCACCGTTCTGTCTTTTATGAACTATTTAAACTTTAACATTTCACAAGCAGAATTATCTGTAATTTCACCATAGCTGTTCAAATTTTTTTGCATTGTTTCCAGTTGAAAGTTTGAACCAAAACGGGATATTGAAGTATGTACTGTGTCTAGGATTCACTCTTTGTCGGTACATTTATATTGATTTTCGATGAAAGGCAAAAGCAATCGGTTTGATTATTCAAGATTCTGTGAAGTAAATACGCCTATAAATCAGATAATACTCTTCTCTTGGCCAGAGGTAAGATTTTAAAATGTCCCATTACCAAGCGGTAATCGTGATTATGGAGAAAGACACTCGCCTTATAATCCAAAATTCGCAAGAGCTTATGTTGCATCGACTCAGTTCTTACGTGGAACTGTAGTTTCAAAGTAACAGACGCGAAAGAGAGATAACTATGTATAAACGCGTAGTATAGTTACAACAGGGTAGCAGAGTTGTTGAAGTATCTAGAGTTGTCTTCTAATAAAGCCAAGCATCTTATTCGTTTTATTTATGGTTCCATCTATATATGGTCCCCTTCCCACTTCAGTTGGCCCACTTCAAGATTTGTACCAAGATATGCCTTTATAAACTAAACATGACGAAACTTTTTACTTTTAAAGCAATTTATTTTCTCAAAAACATTTTAGATACACTCTAATCGTAAAAAATACATATTTGAAATCACTTAGACCTATAACTAATATAACATCTGAAGAAATAAACAATGTGCGAATAAATGCGCGAAGTTAACAAAGCAACAACTGAAAGATTACCATTGAGTAACATCACCTTTATTATTCATTACGGCTGAAATTCTTTGGGGCATAGTGCTAACCAAGTTTTGGCAAAAATTTGGTGTAAAACAATCCCATAGTTCTTGAAGCTTTGTCTCAGTTCGTGCCACAAAGTTTCAATAGGTGACAGATCTGGACTGCTAGGCACCCATTTCAAAAATGGTACATTATTGTCTTCCATCCATTTTATAGCCTTTTTTGAGGTATGGCACGCTGCACCATCTTGTTGAAAATCTTGGCCGGATGTCAAACATTCTTCCATCACCGGTAAAAGCGCTTCTTCTAAAATTGGCAAATATTTGTTTGTATCCACATTTCCATCAATAAAATGAAGTTTTCCTACTCCTTTTGGTGACATACCCCCCCAGACCATAATGGATGCTGGAAATTTCACTTTTCTCTTCAGACAGTCAACATGGAATGCTTCATTTTTTTGCGGATAACTCTACTGCGACTGTCACCAACACAAACTTCTAATCGGACCTCCTCACTCCATTGTATTGCACACCATTGTTGAGGTGTCCATTGTCTATGTTCTTTAGCCCATCTAAGCCTATTTTTCTTTTGCAGTGGAGTAAATAGTGGCTTTTCTTTGGCCTATAAACAAGTTGTGCAACTTTAGGGTTTTTACTTCACTTTTTTTTTTAGAAAACTTACCTTGCAAGTGCTAATCCCAGTTTGTGGGCCTCTTTATGAGTTGTGGACCTCGAAATTCTCCGTCCAACAGCGTCACTCCACACAGCACCTAATTGTAAATAATTGGAACGCCTGTTTTTCACGATTATTCTTCTTAATGCTCTTCGGTCGGCATTTGTGATATTACTTTTTTCCATATATCGTGGCTTAATATTAACTGAACCAGTTACGTTATATCTTCTAACAATATTTCTCACACTGTACCACGATAAGCCTAACAAAGTTGCAATTTCTGAATTTGATTTCCCATAATTAAAAAATTTAATTATCAGTAACCGAATTTTCTCACTAATAACACTGATCAACAGCCAAAAAATATCCTAAATAAAATCAACAATATATTACTATTTTTAATGTGCTAAAACCGGAATGAAACTTATTTTTTCAATATTAGTTCAAGTTTTAGAGATACGGTAATTATATGTGTTCCTGCTGTGACAGTGTTATTATACTGTAATTCACAAGAATGCACGTGCTACATTTTTATATTCGGCAAGGAAAGATGATGTAATCGGCATGATTGTGTTACGTTATACATACGTGTACATTATATTGTTTTATATTAGCCATTTTTTCCTCAGTTGGCTGACAGCGTTCATGCAAGATGTCTCGAAAGTGTGTAAACAATCCAGATCAGTTTTGTTACGTGTGTGGTGATGTGACTTTTGCGTCTCAGAGACGGTCTGTTACTCCACTAATAACAAAGGCATATCAGCTTTATTTCGGTTGTAAACTAGGTGATCAAGACAAACAGTGGGCACCCCACATCTGCTGTAATACATGTGCTTCAAGTCTGAGGAGCTGGTTAAATGGCAAAAAACGGTCTATGCGCTTTGCTGCCCCAATGGTTTGAAGAGAGCCTACAAATCATATTAATGATTGTTACTTTTGCATGGTACCTTGTGTTGGACAAGCCACATGTATGTCCAAGAAAAAAAAATCGATTAATAACTATCCAAACATACCGTCTGCGATGAGACCTGTGCCTCACAGCGACGAAAATCCTATTCCAAAACCCCCAGAATCCTACACTTGCGAATCAGAAAACGAATCAGATCATGGCGATCGAGTGATTCGTCAGGAAGAAGATATGCCATCAACGTCAAGAGATCCTGATTTTATACCGAGCACGTCATGCCACCAACCGCACAAAATAACACAGTCAGAATTAAATGATCTTGTAAGAGATTTAGAACTTCCAAAATGTAAGGCAGAGTTACTTGGATCAAGACTGCAGTGGAACTTGTTAGAAGTCGATGTTTCGGTATGTGTTTTTCGTAAGCGCCACAAAGACAGAACCATTTTTCAATATGGAGAATAACTTGGTTTTCTGCAGTAACATTAACGGCTTACTGGCGGCTTTAAATATAAACCATAACCCAGAAGAATGGAGATTGTTTATAGACAGTTCAACATTGAGTTTAAAGGCAGTGTTATTGCATATTGGAAACATTTTACCATCTCTTCCTGTAGGGTATGCAGTTCACATGAAAGAATCATATGACTATATGAAGTACCTATTGACATGCATAAAATACGATGAGCACCAATGGCATGTTTGTGGTGATTTGAAAGTTGTTGCACTTTTACTTGGGCTGCAGCTAGGCTACACAAAGTTTTGCTGTTTTTTGTGTGAATGGGATAGTCGGGCAAAGGCACTTCATTACACCAGACAAAACTGGCCTGTTCGTCAATTCCTAGTGCCAGGTCAAAAAAATGCCAGCATATGCCATTAGTAGATTCGAAAAAAATTTTATTACCACCACTGCATATCAAGTTGGGCCTAATGAAAAACTTTGTCAAGGGTCAGCTTTTCAATACCTGCGTCAGAAATTTCCAAGACTAAGTGAGGCAAAGGTTAAAGAAGGTATATTTGTTGGTCCACAGATTCGAAATATTTTGAAAGATACGCAGTTTGAAAACACTTTAACAGGTATTGAAAAAACTGCTTGGAATGATTTCCGTCTAGTGGTCACTAATTTCTTGGGAAATAGAAA